CATACAAGAGGCAAGACCAGACAGGCCGTGATTCAAAGTGAAGATTCAGTATTCTCCTTCCAAGTTTAGCACAACTGATTTTGACTATATCATTTGCAATGTTATTACAATAATCAGTATCTCTCAGCAGAAAGTCCCAATAAAATACTAAATCTATTTGCAAATGAGTCAGTTTGCATAGTTACTTTGTCATCTGTGGTTGTGCAGCTTCCATTCATGTTTATTCATGTTTTTCTTTCTTTTTTTTTTTTTTTTATAAACTGAACATTTAGAGGACAATTATGTGAAAATTAGTCTATTGTCAAAATTGCAGGTAGTTAGGAAAAAATGTGCATTTGCAACCAGGATTACCAAGAAAATGTCTGTATTGTGCGAGTTTAGCTTCAAGGCAAACAGTTGGAGGAATGGTATAATATTTCTAATAGCTCGGCGTGAAGTTTAAACCTTGCAGAAGTCACCCTGTCTTTTTTAGTTTATTATTGTCACAGCTACAGCCTACAGTAAATCCAGTAGTGCCTGGTCAGATTTATTTGTACTGCAGACTTCTGCTGAGAGGAAATATCTTGATGGCACAATCTGAACATCAACACAAATCAACACAAAAAGTAACTGTGCCAAACTTTTCTGTATTTGTCTGCTGTTTAGTGTTTCTCAGACTGTGGTATGTGTCCGCTTGTGGTACGCAGGCTGCTTCTGGTGGTAGGCCCTCTGCAGTTTGAGTAATTGTTTAATTTAGAGTCAACTATATTTTTATGTTTTTGTTTTTCTCAGGATTTATTTAAAACTACCTTATCCATCCATTTAGTCTCAGTTTAGACCACATGTGGCAAGGCCAAGGCCCGCGGGCCACATCCGGCCCGCCAAGCCATTTTATGTGGCCCACAAGGGGTTTAAAGCTATAATTTATTATTATGTTGTGACTCTGTGCCGCTACTACATCTCCCACAATGCACTGCAATTGTTTCCCATGAAGTGACTGCATCTGGCCACTAGAGAGGCCAAGAAAACTCATCAAATTTCCCTAAAAAATGTCCAAGAAAAGAAAAATTTATCCACCCCCCCCCCAAAAAAAAACAAAAAAACTGATGCAGCTATTTCATGGATGTTACTAAAGGAGTAAAGTGAATGTTTTATCCAATCCGCTTTATTTCTATAGTACATTTCATAAACAAAACAGTTTCCCAAGTGCTGCATAATGCAGATAAAAAAGTTAAATCAAATAAGAGCAAGAATACCAGTAAATAATATAAAGGTAAAAAAACAAAAAAACATAAAAATAAACAAAATGAATAAATATGAAATGAAAAATCAAATACAGACTTTTACAGATTTGTAACATACCAGTCTTACAGTTACAGTTGCAGTCTTAACTTTACAACCAACCCTTTGATGACAAACATGATCCAAATGTGGCCCTTGGTGAAAATGAGTTTGACACCCCTGGTTTAGACCATTCTTTCTTTAGACCTTATTTGTATTATATAGTCCATGTTTAGATCTCGGGGTACTTGGAATGCATTGTAGGTAAATATATTTTCCTTATACCTGGCCTTTGTTAAAGAGCCAGTGTCCTGGGGCTCAGTGGTGACAGATTAAAAGTTGTCATGCATCAGCTGCTCTTCACTTCTTCTGCAGTCGCTCCAAGCAACAATATGGTTTCTCTCAAGTTCATTGGAGTGTGAGTATCTAAACCTTCATTTATATTATCACATTATGAGTCACTGGTTTATTGACATGTTATGAGTACTATATATATTTTTACTGTGTAGCCTTTTATGTAACTTTTCTGATGTAGGATCCAAATCTACTTGTTTTGGTCTCCATGGAGATGTTATTCTTTTGCTTGGAATGTTCCACAATATGGCATTATGCTTAGCTCACCATGGAGACAAGCAGGTGACACTACCAGGTCAAGTTACAAGTCAGATCTGAGGAGAGGTGACCCCGCTCACCATAAGAATGCATGTTTTCTATTTTTGAGCAATAAAACTCCTCTATTAGAATAAATATAAGATGCATATGTTTAATGCAATTCTGTGGAACATTTCAGGCTGTTTCCCTGGAGACAAGCAGGTATACAAAAATATATATATTATTTAATCTGCACACTACAGTTATGATATATGACATAAATCTATTGTGGATTTGTGACGTGGCTTGACTCTTGATGAGTATGTTTAAAATATCTTGTTTCACTTGAGTAATTATGTTCACAATGTAAAAAGTACACTGACTTGACGTGGAGTACATGTTTGTGTAATGAGTCATGAATACAAGTACATGGGCCCAGAAGCAGGAGATGGCACAGTGGTTCCATGGAGATTTTGGTAAATTTTAGGATGGCCATGAAGCAGTTTTTTGATTCAGAAAAAGGATGAATTGTCCCAAAATAATGGGATGCCTAATAATGGAAAAAATAAATGGTTGATTCAGTCAGAGCTGTGTCTTCATTCAAACTACAAAAAAAATATCAAATAAGTTTTTTTTTGTGGAGCACAATTTCTACACAAAACAATAGACAAACAATAGTGCAAACATAGACACATTGAAATCACAATACAAACAAAATCATCAGAAAACATAAGTATAATCTATAATCTATAAGAGAATAGTGCAGATAACATTAATACAGTTCTATACTATTAATGAAGGTAATGGAAGGTATGAACCAGTGTTCATACAGAAAATCCCATACTACTACTACTACTACTACTACTAACACTACTACTAGTAGCAGCCAAACTGCCTTGTTAAAGCCTGATTTTATACTGCCTGGTTAGTACTTGGATGGGAGCCCACAGGGAAAATCAGGTGCCACAGTTGGGCATCAGTGGCAAAAACTATTGTTGTACAAGCCACTTCATCCACATTGCCTAGTATGAATGTGGTGTGTGTGTGTGTGTGTGTGTGTGTGTGTGTGTGCGCGCGCATGTGTACATGTGTGAGTGTTGGTGGCGGTCGGAGGGGCCGATGGTACAGATTGGCACCCTTGCTTCTGTCAGTCTGCCCCCAGGGCAGCTGTGGCTACAACAATAGCTTACCACCACTGGGTATGGGATGAATGAATAATGCAGGAAGTTGTGAAGCTACTCAGTGTCTGGAAAAGCACTACGTAAGACTAATGCATTATTATTGTCCATAGATAGATAAGAAGGGAGCCTACAGTAACTTAAATTACCTGTTAATCAATAAAAAATTGCTTCTCATACAATTTGCTAATACTACTACTACTTGTTTGGTGGTTCCCGGGACAACCCATTTTAATACCACTTTAGGTCTCCAGGATTATCCCATCAAGTCATTAGCAGCTTAGCCTTGAGCTCATCCTGTAGTAGTGGTGAGTGTCCAGCCATGGTCCAGTGATTAGCCTTCTGTCATGTTGGACCTGTGTGAGGGGAGCCAAGGCTGGACGTCCCAGGACACTGTGGTTAAATGGAGGTACTAGGCTGTGACGGCATGTCTCCTCTCTGTCTCTTTCTGATTACAGCGCTCAATCCAGCCCTGACACATTTTTTCACCATGCTCACTCAGACCTAATTAACCTAAATGACATATATGGAGTTTTTAAGGCTTGTAAACAAAAGGGTGGTGCTCCATAAACACAAAAAAGACTATCTGTCGCTTTCTATAAAGGAACTAACCATCAGGAAGAGGGTATTGGGCAGCAACTATCTGTATACAAATGGGTTTTGAAAATAAAATAATTAGCTTTAAATGATCAATAAGCTAATCTGTCAGAATTAACTCTTGTGTGAAGTAGCTGTTTCCCTTCTTTAGGCCAACAAACATACTCTTAAGTTCAGTGTTATGAACTTAGTATGTAAAAATGTTGTTACTTCTATAAATCACGCCCAGTGATCAGAAAGTTTACAGTTCTAGTATTCCTGTGCTTTGTTAACATTGACAGTATCAAAGGGGTTAAATATCTTCAACTTGAATTATTACTTTTACATGTTTGGAGAAGAGGATAGAGGAGAGCACATACATATTCACAGTCTAGACATGACAAACAGACATACCATTGTCTGTTAGTTTATATGCTGAAAGGATTTTTATCTGGTATTTCTGCTAGGGTTGGTGAGGTTACCCAGATTCTTGTTGATACTGAAACTAGTATTGACAAAATGTGACTTTCCCAGAAGAGCTTTAGTTAGGCCATGATCTATATCAGAGCTAGTTAAGACCACAAACAGTATTATTTTTCCTTAGTATCGGAATCAGGTTTAAAATTGTAGTTTAATGATGACACACATTTCTACATGAGGACTCCTGTGTTACAAGGTATTCCTCACTTACCTTATTCAGAGCATCCTAATTCTTCACAGTGACTAGTTTATGAGCAGTTTTCAACTAACATGCTAATACTCATGACCTGCTTAGACAATAGTGTCTGTAATAAGGCAAGACAAATTTTGAAAAAAAAAAATCAGGTATAACCACTTTAACCAACAGAATGAAAATACAACACTGTAATGCAAATGTCACATATTTAACGGTTCTGGCTGTGAATCATATTGAGGAGTGTCTAAATTATCTTAATCCATTTTATATTTCCATCTATGCAACTCACTGTAGTCCTTGTTTTGGCTATGCTTTGGTTTAGTGGAATCCAAGGTTATTATAGTGTGCCAGTGGCTTGTGTGCTAGGCCAGCTACAGTTAACAGTGCCAGCCAACCATGTCTTGTAATTCCACAAAACACTTTGGTGACAGAAAAGGCAGACACTTAAACCGCATTCAGGAGCCCTTAAGAGAGCGCCACACCTCCACAAATGGGACATGTGTTTTGGAAAGGGCCAGTGCTATAAGGTGGCGTAACTTGTTAAAATGCCAACATGGATTTTCTTAAAGGGAATTTCATTGGAAGCTGTGTAGCCCTACTCCTTTCTTGGCTTTTAAACCAGTTGAGCATGTGCACTGTATAATTCTGAGATGTGCCTTCCCCTTTACATAAGACTGGCTGCGCAGGTTTGATGTTGACGTTGTTTGAAGTCAGGATCTGTCAGGTGTAGAGCTACATGTTCATGTAGTGTGAACTGGCAATACACAGGATTATCAGTTTGTTGTAGATGATAGAAACAGGAACTACAATGGTGGCTAATGACAAAAGGAAACTCTAAGGTAAGTGGAGTTGATGCTTTATTGCTTCTGTTTTGTTCTGATATTGGCTTGAGCTATTATAGGAAAGTTGTATTTGTTTGCTTTGGTAAACATATAAGTAATTGAGATGGTAGTTTCTGTGAATTAACTTTTGTTGAATAGGTTGGGTTTTACGTGACAAAGCAACGTTCTGAACTGCTCGAAGTTACAGTTGAGGTTGAGGACAGGTCTGATTTCTAAGGTAGAATTTGCATCAAAGTGAAAATGTTCTGCCCTGAATTTATGGTGAATATATCTGTTACTACTAGGTCTATCTGTGTGAAACAAAAACTGTCAAAAACCTTTCTGTAACTATGGTAATTTTTATTTTATTTATTTTAAAGTAAAACAAGTTGTACAATTATTCACTCTCCAAGGCGTCTCTTTTGGAATTTTTAAGGCATAGGTTTAATATGTCAAATTTATTTGATCCACAACAAGTAATGACATGCTTGTTATCTTATTATTATTGAATCACCTTTGAAGTTATAAGCCCTAGTGCCCCATCTGAACTTATGAAATAAAACTTTGCACGGAGAGGCTCAGGTCAGCCTGGGAGTCGAACCTGCAACCTACTTGTTAGCCACTACCCTCTGTGACCTTATGCCTGTAACCTTATTCTTTGGCATACTATGATATGATACAGGCACAGGAAGGGGATCATCATATAGATATTAATTATATGTGTTCAGAAATAAAAGTAACAAAGTGAATGACATGAGTATAACCGTATTGTCATCACTTGTAAATAAAACTGACCCACCTGTTATTTGCTTTCAGTATTTAAAGTTGTAGTATTTGCCCTGTAGTAAAGTTTGCCATGTAGCTTCCTCTTGCTCAGCCCTCCAGATATTTACAGCTGTCTTGCCTGTCATTACTGTCTTTGTGTATGTCTGAGGTACTGCATTTCAGCACCATTCCACCATTTCTACAACCTATACTGCAGAGTCAAGTGTGTGGGTTGTTTTTTCATTGTTTATACATATGATTGACTTCTGTTGCCACATTTTCAGTGTCAGGTGTGCTCATGTAGTGTTCAGTGCACTTTTTATTATACTAATAATTACACAGTGTCGTGTATGTTCATGTATTCACCTCAGTCACAAGATGCCCCTTTCTGTACCCATAGGTCTGTTAGGAAGGTATGTTCTAATTACCAGTGTGTGGGTGAAGCTTATGGCTTAAAAAAAAAAGCTGTAAGTTGTAATTATAAGAACACCACAGGGGAAACTGTTATTACACATTATTCAGGACAAAGGCATGGGGAAGGGCATCTGGGTTAGTCATAAAGGGATTGGACTACAGAGAGGACATTGTACATACCTGTTGTCAGCTTTTTGTCTGTAATTTAACGCTAATGTAACAGAAACTCCTGTGAGTCATTAGTGGATTTTAAGTATTTAGCCAGTGGTGAAACAGTAATGTTCAGGGTAGGATTACTCAAGTAGCTACAGCTAACCACATACATATTATGTACATATCTTTAAAAACGTATCAATAAAAAGTTGTACGGACACTTCACACATACTATAGACATGTTTTTCATGGCACTGACAGGTGTGATTCTTTAAAAAAAAATCCCTCAAATGGTTTCAGTTGACAACTGAAATTGTGGCTGAAAAGTAGGGAGGACTATTCAGCAAATTGTCTAACATTGTCTAGCTATGACAAACCCCCTTAGCTATAACTCTGTACATCTAGCTGTAACAAATACAATAACAACTACAAAGTAATACTGTCAATACCATATACTTCAGTACCTAAGCTCGGATATAACCCATGACTAATCTGCTGTGTGAAGTAGTTTATGAGGATTATATGTTTGCCAAAATGTAATCATTTTAATTCCTGAATCATATACAAGTCAAACTTTGAAATATTCTATTCCACCAAACTTTGCTCCAGACCACACACACACAAAAACTAAAAAGATAACTTAAAAAAAACCAACATGTTTACACATGTCTCTATTCTGATTCAAATTCACTTATTGGCCCAGTCCTAATGAGAATATCAGAGTCTACTTAATCTTCTGTTTTACATGGTGTGTCCTTAAACGTCTGAAAACAGAGGCTTGTCTCAGTGCTGGTCACATGACCTGCTGTATAGTATTTACACAGACCATAGTTTGCATGTTTGCTCATGCTACAGCTTTTGTCTTGTCTTCACATCTATCTGCTGCTGACAGTCTGGGCAGCAGGTCAGGTACAGGGTGAACTATGCTTTGAGTTTAGACTAAACATAGGCCATGCATAGTGATGATAATTGTGCTTCCACTGAATACATGGATTGAAATAGCCTGGTTTATATTGACTGTGACTATATAATGACTGGAGCAAAGTGTCATAAGTTGTAATAATTAGATTGTAGGATTAAACAATGAAGAAAGCAATCATCTTGAAGTTAATCCAAAAGAATACACAATGTAATAACCATAATACTAATGTACACAATGCCCGTGAGTGAAGGCGAGGTAGGTATGAAAGGCCCTGTACTTGTACCTTATTTCTCCTACAGTAAAAAAAAAAAAATTTCTTACAATATATTTTGTTAAGAAATTTGCCATTGATATTAACATACATTTTAAAAGCCATGTTATTGAATTAGAACCAACAAAGCCTGGGCACTACAACTGGAAACTAGCTTATTCTGGCACATTTACAAAAATGTTTATTAATGTGCATTGTTCCCATTCAATTAAACAAAAAAATGGGGGATGCTGTATAAGAAACACAGGATAATCTGACTTTCCCATATAGTTGTTTAGAATCTGAGAAGTGGACAGGGTTCATTCTGAATTTTTCATATGGTTGAAAATAAGGTTCAGGCCTTTTAATAATATAACAACTTCAGATTGTTCCTATGTTGGTTGTACAAAAACCTGCACTATCTATAGGGACATGTCACGATATATACTTCAACATGTAATCAAGATGACATTTATTTGAAGTACTTAGTCTGTAAAAATTTACAGCAATGTCTAACAGCTTCACACTGCACTGACTTGAGAATTTTCACACTAGAAGCTGCCACTAACCAAAACTGATGATGCCTGCAATTTTACCAGCAGTGAAAGCAAACTAAAAAGTACATTTAAGCAAAGTAAATTTAAGTTGAGATGTACAACAGCAGTAGAACTGTAAATGTACTGTTTACAATCCACCCAGAGAAACAGACTGCATTACACTACGGCCGTTACAGCTCAATAAAAGGTAATGTCGAGTAATAAACAACCAGAACCAAATCTTATATCACCAGCCCTGTTGGTCTAAAACTACTGAAGCAAAAGAGACCAATTAGCAACAATAAGGCATTTCATTCACACATTTAACTAAGAGAGACATCAGTTACATCAACAGAGACATACACCTCTTTCCTCTATGTCTGCTGAAACTATGAAACTTTCTCAGCTTAAAGAAATGTGCAAATTAGCTGCATTTTGTTGATATTGCTTTAGATTTTTTCCCCTTGGATTGGAGGAAGACTATAATTTGACCTGAAAAGAGCTACTAAGTTTTCTTGGACTGTATAAAAAATAAAAAAAAAAGAGTATATGCAGAAAGAAATGTGCTTAAAGGGTGGGTCGCATGTGTATACTGATACAGAAATATACTGTGATAAATGATAATATTGAAACTAATTTACACCATGCAAGAATGCCTACTATTTTTAAATCTAGGGATGTTACAATGACCAAAATATTGTGATACTGTATCATCAAAAGTCTCACAATAATTTTGTGGTGTGGACTATCACAATATATTGAAAAGTTTCTTTGCATAGATTAATTGTTTTGGTGCAGCAGCAGCTAAAAAAGAGAGGAAACTACATAGACCATGATCCTTTGCTCTGTTTCAGTCCGATCTACATGATGGAATAACTGTTATTAAGCAAATGTTAAAGCAATTTGAATTTGGATTATGACAGAAAAGTGGCATAGTCACAATTTTGTTAACCTCCACAAAGTATGTCAATAAATATCATACTGTGAGATGCTTATCATGAAAGTATTGTTACACCTAGGGGTGGGCGATATATCGATATTTTAAATATATCGAGATAGTTTTTAAACTCGATATGAATTCGGACATATCGTATATATCGATATAATGCTTATATTCAATTTTGATTTCGCCGCTTCGCTTGTTTATCTTCTCTCTCGTCGCCTCCGCCTCCCTGATTTTGTTCGCTCGTGTCTCCTTCACTCGTCACTGTCGCCGTGAACGCCGAAAGTTGGTGCCAGTGAAAAGCTTCAAGCACCACGAACCTTTTCCACCATTTACAGACAAAACCATCAGCAGCACATCCTCATATTCCACTGAGTCGCGTCCTTTAGCCCAAAAGAAGCTAAACGAGCTGAGCTGCAGGAGAAGTGCTGTTTATGCAAATGAGCCATGCGCTTAAGTTTCGTTTCTGTAAAATGTAAACACACGTGCGCAAAACTGCATTAAACACATTATTATCTCAAACGAGCTGATGTGGCTCAACAGTCGGTATGCTTTATATATTGTAAAGTTTAGCAATGTAAAGTGTATTTAAACAGAAGATTTTAATTAATAATCTGTTGCAGTGTCACTTGTACAATAGTGTTTGGAAACGTTGGGTTTGATCTGCAGTGGATTGTGGGAAACCTCAGAGCTCCTTCTGCTGGTGAGGAACATGGATCTGTTATAATAAGGAACATCCTGAACTTCCTCTGCTAAAGGAGCTCACGGTTCTCGTTCTGGTCTGGATAACAGAGTTAATGCAAAGATGAGCTTTATTTATGAATGAAAAGAAGAAAATATGTTTTATTTATTTTATTTTACAGTTAAATTATTATTTATGTAATTAGGGTTTTCTGTAATCTTAAATGTTCCTATATGAACTGCTGACCTCTTACACTTCAATAAAAAAAAAAAAGGACCTTGTGGAATTTGGCAGATTTGTTTTTGCAGTTTTCAGTTTTAGGGAGTTATTTTTTCTTGAACATATATCGAGATATATATTGTATATCGAGATATAGCAAAATATATCGAGATATATTTTTTGATCCATTTCGCCCAGCCCTAGTTACACCCCTTTTTAAATATACAGTATCATTCAAAAGACATGACCTACAACAAATAAATAAAATATCATAATGTATCAACAGCGGCTGTCATATATTGAACGATATACAGTATGTATATTAATTATCATCAGGCCCATGTGCAGCTTATTTAAAGGTTATTTATTTGTCTTTTAGAAGTAAAAAAAAAAAAAAAGTATGCATTTCACTTTCAAATAGCAAACTAACTACTAATAAATTTAATATAGATTTTTATTATACATCTTATATAAGAATAGTGACTCCTATTAAACACCTAAAGACCTGTATTATGGCTAATGAGTCAAGTGAAGAGACACCACATGAGGGGTATAACTTTTAATCTTGAATGAAACATGAAGATGGAGGAACAGCATATTTATTTATCTTGTAGTTGTACTGCTTTTTTATAATTTGTTTCAAATGGTTGTCCTATACTAAAAAAAAACTATGTCTTAAGAGTCTTATAGACATTTTGACCTTGATTGTAGCATGAAGGTGAAGTGAAGTAGTAGAAAACCATCCACAGCAGTCTATTTCAGGCATGTTGTCCCTTGCCTCCATTTATTATTACCCCGAAGCACACAGCTAATAGTGCACTTCCACAAAAGCCCTGGTCCTGTAGCTGAAGATGCCTCCCCTCTGTGTTCAATGGAGCTACTGCACATTGCATTTAACATGTGAGCGGGTGTAGTATAAGTGGGCATGCAAGGGTAGTAGAAAGATGCCACAGAAAGAGAGAGATAAGGTGGCATAGTGTCTCGTGTATACTTCCTCTTCTAATGTCCTTAATACATACCGAGTAACCCCACAGTGCAGGCTTTGTCCCACTCATTGTCAGAGAGGGCTTAGCTTGCCCAGTGAGAGGCTTTGGTCACATATGTCACTTCAGTGCAGTCACTTACCGCTCCTTTAGCTACTTGAGTGGAGGGGCGGGCTGGGGGGCGTGCCCCTGCCCTGGGACAGGAGCGGAGACGAACTGAGTTGGACAGGGAGGGACATGTCAGAGGTAGTGCTACTGCTGCTGGGATTGGGATCGTTCTGGACTATTTCTGTGGACTTTTAAAGACTCTGTGGACTTTTTACACCAACTTGTACAGGGATGTAGCAGAAACATAAAAGAGTGAGTTAAGTTTAGAGTTGTTTAATGGCAGTGCAAAGTAAGGCTGAGTAATGTGGTGCAAAAAATATGCGGTTTTGTTACATTTTCCATATCATCATTCACAAGTTTTCTCTTGAATGCAGTTCTCTGTGCTGAAAACTACACTTAACTTCACCTTTTCCTCCTTTTGATCAGCCTCAGCTATACTCTATATGAGTGACAGGTGACTATTTGTAATGAAGTGTGAAGAAACAGATGACTTCAGTTACCTTAGACAATGTAAAGTAAAGTAAACTAATTGTAAATTAACTGTGATAAAATTATAATCTTAATCTTAGTTGGTCTCCTTCTCTAAAGCATCTTTGTGTATCTTGAAAAGCACTACACAAATGTTATAGATTATTATAGTAGTAGAAGTCATAGCAGAAGTCACAGAAGTCGTAGTAGTAGTAGTAGTAGTAGTAGTAGTAGTAGTACTCTGGCTCCAGAACACTGTGATATTAATTTACCCACACTTAGGACAGTGTATATAGCGTTGTTTAGGTGTGTAGTAGAACATAGGAAACTGTTTATCACCTCTGAATGACTGTACTTAGACTGTGTGCTTTCCAGTCTGGCGTGTGCTGTTTATAGGTGTGCTTCGGTGTCAATTATAGGCCTGTCCTGAAGTTTTCTTTTGGGAAGGGGGGCAGGGGTGTCGGATTAGTCATGTTGTTGTCACACTTGTGCCCGGGCAAACTACAGGCTTTAGAAACACAATCCCTTACAGATTTGTGGCTACGGTCCGCCATGTGTGCAGGTAACAGATCCTGGTCTTCAGATGTACATGCTTTGTTTTATGTTTACATAGTAACTCCACCCCACTGTACGCACGCAGAAATTCCCCTTCGGAGCGTGCATGCGGTTGACTTTGGAGTGGCAAGTTTGCAAATCTGCACATGCTCGGAGTAAAGGAGGAGCAGTACAACACAGCTAAAAGGTCTTAGGGTGTGTGCCACCTGTTTGCCGCATGAATGAAAGTTGCCTATGAAGTGGCTCAGGTGCAGAAGGATCAAGTCAAATCCTCACAAAGGTCACTCATATCATGTCAAAGAGGGGCTTTAGGGTGCTCACCTGTCACCTCCAAAACACCATGGACTTTCCAGCTCATTTGGAAAGTTAAAGGGACCCTAGTACACTGCAAAAAAAAGGAATAGGGGTTTGATAATGGGTTGATTTAATCTGGATTGGAATAGTTTTGATACATTTACATAAAGATATATATGGGTTTTAGAATGATGAGAAATAGTGATTAACAAACAAAATATTGTATCTTTTGAATGGAAAAAGTTTTCAAAATATTGCGTTTAACAGGAAGAAGAATGTTTGTTCATAGCACTTCTCTGACCAATCATGTTGCTTGAAACAAGAAAAATTATGACACAAACTTAATCTTAATTGCTAAACAGGCTGTTATAAAAGACAGTGTTGTGTTGTCACTGTTTGGAAACGTCCATTTTCCGAGACACAGAAAGAAGCCTTGACTATGTTTTTGTGGAAAGCAATTTGTACCAAAACATGGCAAAACAAACTAATATGCGGAGCAGTTTGCAAGCAGAATGGCCCTTTTGAAAGTTTCTGATTACAATTTTCCAATTGAAAGCGTTCATTTTGTCACTGTTTGGTTATAAAATGTGGAACTTTTTTTTCTTCCCTTGGCCCCTGTCTCAGACCTAGTGTGTAAGCCTAGTGTTTTCGTTGGCACAAACAAATGACCCGTCTGCACAATTTGTTTAGATCTTTTGCAGACTTTGTCACTGACAGATGTATTTTTATATGCTCACTCTAGCTTATGCTTCTTATGTAAGTATGTCTCTTGCCTGCTCAGAGTGACCGTAGGTGGCCCATAAATTAGAGCTGCATGTGGGAGCTTGTGTGAGTCCACTGTGTTAAAACATGCTCTTGATGATGCCACAGTAACAGTGGAGATCCTGCTTGACCACTCTGTAAAAATGCATACGGAACATCTCTTGCTACTTTTGTCCTTTTAATCCACCGGAAAACATAATCTGACAGTGCAGTTTTGTTCCAAAGAATTCTTAGTAATTTTTCAATTTGTCTAATAATTGATTGTACATTTAAGCAGCCTAATCCTATGCAGTCTGAACAATCACCACATGTAATTTACCCTTTGAAAATGGCCAATGCATACATTCCTATGTCCTGAAGAACCCAGCCCATTTCTATATGTCATTGTTTGACATCGTTTTAGTACAGTGATGCATGTGACTGCTAGCTTCATTCTCTTGATAGTAGGATTAGCAGGAGGATGAAACCATTTGGCACCACCACGGGCCTCTGCACTGAGAGAACTAAAGCCGTGAAATACTGACAGGCTCAGACCAATTTATAGTCTGCCATCTTGGATCTAGCGGAGGTTGCAGACAGCAGCTTAGCTTTTGTGCCAGTCGTTTCTACTGTAAGCATGCCATATGAAGCCACCAGCCAGAATGGAGAGTTCAAAGGGTAATCTGTAGACAAGTGCTCTGCTGTGTTGGGCTACGACATCAGACAGGAAAAGACAATAGACTCTGCTTTACTCAGTGATTGAGGATTTGCATCAATTAAGTGAAACATTTTTGGGGGGGTCTTTTGAAAGTCAACAAACCAGTCAAAATATGCTAAAACCATAATCACTCTACTCATTCACTTCACTTCGTACTAATAGAAAAATGTGTGTTTCTTATTATCTGAAAATGTTGATATGTATTCTTTTATAGTTTTGCTTTTTTGGGATAACCAGTGAAATGCCTCAAACAATATTTCATCTTTGTACTGTTTCTTATGCCCTTATTTTTGCTCCTTATTTTGAATTTATTATTACCATTTATATATTTTCTCTTATAATATCTTGTGATGTTTGAGCTACTGTGTCCAAATAATTTCCCTTGTGGATCAGTAAAATTTGTCTAGGTCTAAGTCTTACCATACATTTCTGCTGAATGGGCTTGGTACACTGACTTTAGTATTTTATTCTGTTTGTATGAGCAGAAATTCATTTTTAGATCAAGCGTGCATATTGTGGCTGCATGAAATAGTGACATCTTGAAGAGTGAAATAATGTGTGAAGTGTCCTTATCGGTGTTGCTGACAAAGAAACACAGTAGTGCTAGAGTGGCAGACTATACTACATTAAAACACTTAGTAGTATCACAGTAATGACCAAGTAATGACCACAAAAAAAAAAAAACAAGGAGGGAAAACTGTGCTTTGTCGTTTGCACGAAATGTTTAAGCATGATGTTGTAGTACTGTAACCTGGTGCACTGGAAAAGCTGACGACATTATTTGCAAACATGTCGCGATGTAAATATGGCAGGTCTGCCCTTTCTAATCTCTTGAGGTCTACTTGCACACACACAATCAAAGGTGCACTGTGTAACTTTTCTGGTGGAATTTCTGCCAACAGCTTGTCGCTGTAGAGACATCATGGCTTTGACTGGAATATTCCACAATATACTGTAGCATTGACCTTATCTGTCTCTATGAAGAGAAGTAGGTGATGCAACTAGGCCAAATTACTGGTAAAAGCTGTGCTGAGGTGACCCCACTCACAGTGCATGTTTTCAAAGCAATGAAAACACTTAAACAGATAAGATCAATGCCATACTGTGGACCATTCCAAGCAAAGCAATAACATCTCCATGGCAGGTGATGGATCCTCCTCCAGTGCACCTTTATTAAACATTAATTGAGTACTTCAGTAAGTAATTCAGTCAGTAATTCAGTAAGTTTTTTTTTTTTTCCCTAGATTGCAGGTGCCTTAGAGTTTCCCAGTGACAGTAGCTGATCCCAGTGGCCTCACAGTTCAGAGTTCTGGTGTCTTCTGACCGTCTGGAGGGGGATGAGGTGGGCCGGGGGTCTGCAGCTCCTCCTGCTGCTGGCCAGCACCTCCTGGGCCACAAGTCTCCAAATCCCCCTAGTAGGTAAGAGATACATCCATTCTCTAAATGACTGACAATGGAGCTTTAACCTTAGTTTAAGTAGGGCTGGAATATCTGATAATTGTTTCCACATATGATCACAGTTTTAATTACCAACTAATGTAAGTATCTTCATATCAGGGTGGGATGATATGACAAAATAAGTAATCTTTTTTTTTTTTTATCTAGTAGTGCTTGATCATGATTTTTGTTTTCAGGGATTCGCCACACCTGCTTGTCTCCTTTGAGATTTTATTGCTGTGCCTGGAATGTGTCTTAAAACTGTCTATCCTTTTTCTGTATTTATATTGCTAAAATACCCTGAAAAACAAGCTTTCTTACTGTCAGTGAGGTTGGCTCTCCAGTCTCCACAGATCTAACCAGTAACTTGTTATGGTTGTGTTCTGCTTGTTATCTGTATCAAGCTTATTGCAATACAGTAAAATATAATAGACAAAGACAAAGATATATAACATATAGAGACAAGCAAGTGGGGACTCTCAACCAGAAAAGTTATATAGTGCACATTGCATATTTCATTTTTTTTTTTTATTCCTGAACATAAGCAATACTGTACATGCCATTTAAATAAAGTCTTCCACTAAAGTTTCATGTTTGCTCCAAACCACACACTTTTACAGACATATTGGCTGTAAAAGACCCAAGCATCATTAACGATTAGAAATGACTAAATCATTAAGTAATTTTCATTAACTAGTATTTGTATAGTTCTAATCTGACCAGTTTCTGTTTGGTTTATTTTTTATTGCAGTTGAGCAGCTTCCAACAATAATTACACAAACATCAGGTCCTATTATTGCACTTCCTTATGACAGCAGTGTTACTATCAGCTGTGAAGCCACAGGAAACCCTCAGCCACAGTAAGTGTCTTATTCACTACAACTCAGTCCAAGTAATTATAATTCTGATTTATAATATGTTTTTTTAATTGACAGATTCAGGTGGACAAAAGATGGTGTTGACTTCACCCCTCCAGAGGTTATTGACCCCACAAAAGGGACATTTGTGGTTCAAAACAAACAGCTCACTCAACATCATGGAAAATACCGATGTTATGCCTCCAATAAACTGGGCACGGCAATGACTGAGGAGATTCAACTGATAGCCTTAAGTAAGCAATGACTATTTCAATCTCAGTATGATCTGATAAGAATTTACAATAATGAAGTTTGGCTTTGTTTTGCTTTAGGTGTCCCCAAATTTCCAAAGGAGATGCTTGATCCAATTGAGGTAAAAGAAGGAGACCCACTTGTCCTGAAATGTAACCCTCCAGCCAGTGTGGTCCCACGGCAAATCCACTGGATGTCAATTAGTAAGACTATTTTTACTACTGCAAAACATAGTCACAAAATGGTTTCAAAAAGTAGTCATCTGGATTTTCTTGTCCAATTGAAAATGTTGAAAGAAATACATTTTACATCCCTAATACCGACTCTGTATGGCATAAATATAATCAAAAGAAGAGAATGTAATAATTATAATTGGCAGTATACTAGTTGTCAGATCTATAATTACTAAGAAATCACCAATGCACAGTTTATGGAGTACTCAGACAGTGAGATAGCGCACCAATGTAAAAAAAAAAGAAAAAAAGGGGGAATCACTGGCCTAAAGAATGCCTCTGAATGACAGAGAGATTGCATAGTAGCATAACACGGCCGTCTGTCAAATATGCAGTTCCATACATGCGTTTATATCTTTCTATTACAACCAGAATTATATATTTTTGGCACTTTGAGCTGCAGTAGCTATAGTGTGTGGGAGAAGATTTCAATTATAGTTTTGTTAGATAGTGATAACTTCCAACTGGAAACATCCCCTAAAAGATTTGGTTTTGGAGATGCTATGACCTAATTGTTTAGTCGGCACTATTTGGCCCTTGTCACTCAAATCTATACATGCATTCCCTTCTTCAACATCATCAAACATGTTAATCCTGATTTGTGTATTTTCATTCTCAGTGGACCAATTGAAGTTTATTTCTAACGTCTTTTGTAAATGTTCACCAGAGAGTAGACAAGAGAGTTTCCATTCTGCGTCCCTTTAAATAAACAATAGTTAGAGTCATAATAGCGGAACAACCAATAGCGTCCCCAAGTTCCTAAGATGGCCATGATTTACTGTATGGCCTAAACAATTACATCATCTCTGTGCTAAATGTTTTGCTGCTAATGGCTCATCCTTCTCAATTACTGAGACATTCCTCAGCAACGTATTATTAACAAAGTAAAAAATGAAGCCAAAGATATCGGTAAAAGCCACAGAAGTTATACGCACCTTGCTGAAACATTTAAATTTAAATCACTTAATTAGTTCTATGTTTTACAAGTCTATGAATAGACCAAAAATATTTGACTAATTTGAGAAATAACCATTTTTTAAATAATGAACAATTAGTATTTGGGTGTAACCTTCTGCTTCAAGGAAATACTACATAGTTAAAATGCCATATAATCAACCTGTCTTTCAGCTTCTCTGTTTGATCTCTCTCAATTACGCCACGTTTATTTTTATAAGTCCTCTCTGTGATTCCATCTGGTTGTAAATTAAAATAACTTTTTTTTTTTTTTTTTTAGATCTACAGCACATCCCACAGGACGAGCGGGTTTCCATGGGGATTGATGGTAACCTGTACTTTTCGCACACCATACAAAATGACACTAGGACTGACTACACCTGTGTGGCTGCCTTCAACAAGATCAGAACCATTATCCAGAAGAGCCCCATGACTGTGCTGGTACGAAGTGGTAAGTTTAAATGTGATTATTTTCTTGTTGACACTTGTAAGTCATAAACATGGCATCAAAGCAGTGTGGTTAATATGCAAATCAAATGTTTTGAATAGTTTGGCATAAGCGACTTAACCTGATTCATCAGCCAGTTTCACTTCGTGGAAACTGTCTGACCTCACAGCATTAGGATTTGTTCACTTGACGGTAGGCGGGTACTTTTTTTATTTTACCAATCGCTGCTGTTTGGTCATGATGTATGTAATGCGTCAAATCCCTTCATCTACATCAATCTCAACCGCTTTGTTTACTGTTGTGCTGTACCACAAAAAGGGACCCAGACACGTGCTTGAGTTTGATGTCATGGCTTCACAGCTCTTCCCTGACTGGTCGGTGTACGGTCTACAGCTTCTAATGTATTCCGATTCATTTTTTGGTTTCGATACTGACCCTCAGCACTTAAAGTGTCCATCTGATCTATGGTATAATGTTTCCTCATCACAAACATATCTGGAGTTGTGTTTTGTTTCATTCACGCATGTTTAACAAATAAACCTGAATATTTCGGCTCTAAAAACACTTTGTTCCACCTTGTAATGTCATCTGATAGTACAGGAAGTGCTCCACTGTGTTTTTAAGCTCCATACACCTTCACTAGAATCATTAGAATAATTTCAGGAATTGACAATCTGTACTAAACTAAATATTAAATGTGGCTAAATTGAACTTGAAAACTACCTCTTCATGACATCACAAGGATGAAACAGAGCCTTTTGAGCTTTGGAGACAAACAGTATAAAAATGGAAGGGTACTCAAACATCTGTGAATGAAACAAAACACAACTCCAGATATGTTTTTGAGGAGGTAACAGCATTATAACTTGGCTTAAAGCCAAGAATCTATTTTAGAATTAGAGTCCATTTTACATAATATAGGACCTTTAAAAAAAATCTTGACATAAGTTTAACAAGTTTCATGTGCTTTTTAAAATCCATTTTGATTATATTTATATTATTATAAGTGTTTCTATGTTTTTAATGCAGTGTTTCCAATATTACTACACTATAACTCCCTTGCCTGAACAGTCTAGAATGATATCTTGCTGTATTTTTTCACATTTTTCACAAAGTTTTGGAGAAGTGTGTATTCTGGATCCCAGGCAAACACCACATAGTCTGAGCACATGAGAGAAATAGTCTGCTACTAAAATTACATTAAATGAAGACAATCAGTAATGATAGTAATTTGTACGACAGAACAGTATTCTGACACCATCACTATCTTTATTTATAGATAAAATTAGAGCAATACCACAGTTGGACCCCTAAGCATGTGTTATGATGAGAGGCCTATTCTGATAGCAGAGAGCGTTCTGAGTGGTTACAAAGCTAACACATGTCATCAACATCTCACACAATCAATTCCCTTTGTTAACAAGCTGCATGACAATCTGATTACTCTCTACTCACATGTGACAACTGTGTCCCAAGCAGACGCTGCCCCCGCACTCTCCAAACCCAGAATCCTGCTGCCCTCTGGTGTTCAGACAGAGGTAGTGCTGCTGAAGGGGAAGGAGCTGAAACTGGAGTGTCTGCCCGGAGGATTGTAAGAACATATACAGTATATTCAAATGCACTATATGATCAAAATCACTCTTAATGTTATAATAATTAGACAAAATTTGCAAAGCAATAAATAATAGGTCTATCAATATAAATAATTTAAATATGCACTATGTAACTTCTCTAGAGAGGACCTACTTTTGAATATGGAGATGTTATTGCTTTACCTACAATATTCCGCAGTATCCCTTTAAAAGTATCTCTCCATCGAGACAAAAGGGTGGCAATCTTGGCCAAGTTTCATATCAGATCTGAGGGGAGGTGAAGCACCTCACTCTATGAATACATGCTTTTACAAGGTGTTTTGAGACATAAAGCACATGTAATTAAATAAATACAAGAAATATACACAAAATGCCATACTGTGGAATATATTATCTGGCAAACAATGACAGCTCCACGATGACATGGAGGTAGCAAAGAGTGCCTCTTTAAGCTTTAAAATAATTATTACTGTGTCTTAGTCCGTCTTAATAAAAACGAGTGTATTAGAGCAGTATAATAACTGGGAATATTATGTGCATGTTTACAGTGTATTACCTATATTAATCCCTATACATTTTGTCATCGCAGCCCCCCTCCGACAGTCGAATGGATTAAGATGGGGGACAACCTTCCTGAAGGGACCAAATATGAGAATTTTGGGAGACTACTGACAGTGGCCAGTGTGAACGAAGGCATGGAGGGCAAATACATGTGCAAGGCTAACAACTCAGAAGGCGATGAGGTGCACTACTTTGACGTCATAGTGGAGGGTGAGTTTATACACGTATTTTAAAGTTTTATTTAGACACAAATAGAGTACTAATAATGTAATCTACTTAGTACTCACACTCATCACTAGTTAATGCAATACATTCTGTTAGATTCTAAAATCCACTCCTACTGCTACTGTTACTGCAGTTTCTATTATGAATCCCACTACTACTTTATACTATGTAACTTTATGTTAATGCTTTGCCCGGAGTTTTCACTTTTCCACAAAATTGTATCTAATTTAAATTTCACATTGACAAGAGTTAGGTAATGCCATCACAAGTGAGATCTGTGGAGAGTTGCCCCCCACTCACAGTATGCATGCATGTTTTTGAACAATAAAAACACCTGTTATTGAATATATGCACAATAGACTACTTTAATTCCATACTGTCAAATATTATTTCTAAACAAAGTAACCCTTAAACTGGAAAAGTTACATAATGTATTGACCAATTGTTTTCTACTTCAGTTCAAATCAAATGTACTTGTCCCATTGGAAAGTTGGGCAACAATGCTGAACAACTGCAACTATATACATCACACAATAAGAAGAAGGCAAACAATACTGCTTTTACTACTGTACACACAAAAAACATGTATCCATGCATGTAAGGTTAACAAATTTGAACTCACTGATTTCATGTACTTGTTTTGTACTGAGACTACATGACCCTTTGCACCACTCCTGTAGCTTTTTCAATAACAAGTGCCATCCAGTCTGGTCTGAACTGCCTGTTGACTCCCTACTTTTCTCTCTCCTCTCTCCCAGAGCCTCCGCAGTGGCTGAGCGAGCCGCCTCAGAGCCAGCTCTCTGTGATTGGCTCAGATGTCCAGATCAGGTGCGCGGTCAGTGGGAAACCAGTGCCAGACATCACATGGAGGAAGAATGGAGAGATTTTCCGAGGTGAGGGAGAGTAATTGTAGCTGTGGTTTGAAGCCTGTGTTGCCGGTGGGCAGATGGACTGAGCTGTGAGGCTCTGAAGACAAATTGAAGTTGGCAAAGAACTTCAGAAGTGTGTTTTTCAAAGTGCCTGAGAAGCCTGACTATTGGGACGAATTATTTTGAAGATGTTTTAAAGAGAGTTTAACTGAATGGAAGTCACAATTTTAATACTTTCAAATGACTACTTAAAACACAATACTCATTACCTAGAATACTTTTTATACCTCATGAAAGATCCTCATAATAACCTTTCCTTACAAGGCAGTAGTAGGCAGTTGAAGTGTATGAATAAAGATGTCTTAATGAATTAAATGACACCTGATGGTTTGTTTTTGCTGGTAATCCTTACATGCAATAATTTATATTGAAAAATATGACTATCTCTACTTACAAGTGTATCAATTACTCCATCAAGATAATGTGTGGTTACTGTTCCTGAATACATCTTATATGGAAGATGTCTTTGCTCTCACTCTACATATTTATATTCTGTTTCTTTCACACAATAAGAAAAAAAATATATATGTATGGCATCTCTTTTCTTCATTTTGTATGGGCACCATAATGCATGTAAGTATTATATTATATGAAATGCTTTCAGACGACCCAGGGCAGAAGCAGCGCATTTTTGAAGACAGAGTGGTTCTACATAATGCCCGTCCCGAAGACAGCGCTGTTTATCAGTGTGAAGCCTCCAACAGACATGGCATTCTGCTTGCCAATGTCAACATCATGGTCATGAGTGAGTGAAATTACATTCTTTTTACATATTGCTTGACTTACTCATTATTATTTATAAAGGAAGTAATTTTAATACAACATTTTCTGGCATTAAGGCAAACATTCTGCCCATATCCAAATATCCAGCAAATGTCCATAATGTTATGAATCATTTTGTTCAAAATATGCTTGAAATCACCTATGCATCAAAACATATTTTTCTGTTTAAAATAATTGGAAGATGTATTAGTTATAATACCAGAGTCTCCTTCAATAGCATCTGCTATGAAGGTAAAAAGGTTTTTCATGCTGCATCTTTGAGAATTTAATCATGCTGTACTGGGCTAGTTTATTTTATGAAATCCCTAAAACGAGTAGTGATTTTAATTAATAAAAAGAAGTATTTATTCAAAGAGAAAAAGAAAGTTGAGCTCAAAGTATTGTCAATCCATCTGTGATCTGCTATCACCTCCTATACATTGTGTTTTATTCACAAATCTTTCTTTCATTCTATGACAGCTTGCTAGTACATCTGTATCGTCTCAACTTAGTCTGTATGTTTTCTTCTATTTCAGATATGGCTCCCTTGATCTTGACTGCAGACCTCCAGGAGTACGCTGTGGTACAGGGGGGTAACATTGTTCTGAACTGCAGTGTTTTTGGCTCTCCTCCACCATCAATCTCCTGGTAAGAACACCACCAAGGAAACACTTACCACTATTTCACTTAAAGAATAACTCATGGAGAAGATGCCAATAAAAAGCATTCTATTCACAGAAGTTTGTACTGAGTTTTGAGCTTCACCAAAATTTCAGAATCTTCTACTTAATCTTCTACTTAAGAAAAAATAATGAACATCATGACTCGTGTGGATTAAAAAACGATTAAAGACCCTGTGAAAATAAATAAATAAATCACATCATGACTCGTGTGGATTAAAAAACGATTAAAGACCCTGTGATTCTTTAAAACATGAAAAACATAATTCACTCATTTTACTGTTTACAATGGTTCAAAGTTGTTCTGAACTTTCCTAACATCCTTATTATTTACTGCAATGCATTTATAAGCACTCTTTCAGAGCACAACTTTCAGAGCTTTTTTGCCATCACGGTAAAGCTAACAACAACTTGCATGCTAACACGCACTTCCTGATTATTGGACAATAAAACAATTTACAATTAGATCCAGACAGTACACAGCAGACATATACCGGTACAGTAATTGACCTCAAAAGCTGCTTAGACAATATATCTGTACTGGAGCAAGGCAAATTTTGCTGAAATACCTGGAAAAACTTGGGTACAGTTTGGTTTAAGTAGCTGTAGTTACGAGTATGATAAAAAAAAATAGACCAACCTCCAGTTTGAATGTATAGCTTAAACATTGTTATAATTACAAAGAATAGATTTTGCTGTGGACTTGAAAACACATTATTTACTCGACAGGTTTTCTTACCACACCATCCCAGTGCCTTGTGTTAAAACAAAACAATTTTCACAGTTTTTGTGTGGGAGGAAATTGCTCCTTCCTAACAGCCTTGGGTCGCACTAATAATCCCCAAATGCTTGAGGTGTCTGTGAGCCACAGTCTGCTGACACCTGTGCCTTTTTAATGAGATAGCCTCCTCCATTTGTAGTATACAGCTAATTAAAGAAGCTTCGTCAGTACAGAACATCTTTGACAGCGTGTGTCAATGTACAAAATTTCACATATAAATACACATAGAATTTATACTAGATTGATTGAAACTTACTATTTCCAAATCAGAACTTGTAATGCATCTTATAGGCTTGACCTTGCTGGAAGAAAGGGACATTTAATTGATGCAAATTGAGCGCAACAAAGAATTTTAATTAGCTACCCAACTAAAAATCAACCGCAATCAAATCTTGACAAAACTGTAATTTTAGTCTTATTCTTTTTGCCGTTTCTAGGCAACATGGCTGTCTAATTAGCACGCTAAAGCGGGTTTGAAAACTCTCTCCTAGGGCCAGGAATGAGATTTCAGCAGACATCGAAGGGGAGAGGCTCTTGGTCCTGACGAACAACTCACTTCAGCTCATCAGTGCAGAAAAAAACGACAGTGGGGGGTATGTGTGTGTGGCCTCCAACTCAGAGGGCAAGTCTTCAATCACCGCCCTGCTGGATGTGAAAGGTACTGGTAAAAGTGTAAAAACATGATTGTTCCAGATGAATTATGTGATATTAACTGTATGTTTTGAATTGAGATAATGGCAACTGATTCTTGTGGATAGACCAAGATGATAGACCATTTTTTGTTAAGCACATGCCAAGTTATGTTTGATTCTCTTTGTATATTCTTAATAGAAGATCTCTCAGTCTGGTCAGCATGTCCTGCAATCAAGCTTGTTTATTTTAGTCATGGAAAATGGAGGAGCTTGTGTTCAATGGTTCACTCATTGATTCTGCTGAAATCTGCAGTGTTTGTCAATCCCATGTGTTCTTTTTTACTTCCATCCATGACATCGCATGCTCTGGATTGACCTATCCAGCTGTCAATCTCGCCTATTTGAAATAAGGGAGATAATAGTGCTAACCAGATGCTGTCAAGAACACTTTTTTTTTTGTAAAGTATCAGAGAAGTGTGTATTCTTGGCTGGCTGAGGAAGTAGCAACTGAGATGACTAGCATTAGGAAAATGTAAAAATGAAGATAGCATGACAGATATTAGAGACTTTTGTACTATGAACTTACTTTTAATTACTTATTTTTGTTTGCGTTTATTCTTCAGATCCAACCAAAATCGTGACCCTACCCCAGGACACACAGGTCATCAGTGGGACAGCGGCTCAGCTAATGTGCGGAGCGGAGTTTGATAAAAGCCTAGAAAACAGCTTTGAGGTGACATGGATGAAAGATGATGAGGAGATCCCACTTAACTTTGAAGAAAAGTAGGTGCCATTTCTTTGAGTGTGTTTATTGATTTGCAAATGTGTTCTAAATCACAAATGCCATAAAAGCTTACATCCCGCTTCTCATTCTAATGAAAGCAGCGGCTTGACTTCAAGGCTGGCTAATGCTGTGGGAGAGATTATGAAAATATGATTGATGCATTAACAGGACCTTGAGAATAAAGACTTGTACACAGTGGGATGGATAGCCTGCTTTCTATGTATATACACATATATATTTTATGCACCACTAATGTACATGCTGTATTGGTGTCTCTTACAGATACTTTCTGACCAAAGGGATGCTGCAAATCATGAACGTGAACTTGAGTGACCAAGGAGTTTACACATGTATAGCAAGAACCAGCGTTGACATGGACAATGCCTCTGCTATAGTGACAGTTTTAGGTATGTTTTTATATTATATTTCTTAAGCACCTTTATTAAAGGGCCCATACTACTCTATGTTCAGATCTATTTTATAATGTTGTTTCTTCATCACAATACCTGGAGTTGTGTTTTATTTCATTTACACGTGTTTAGCACACACTGAATATTTAGGTTGAGTTCTTCTCTCAAATTTAATTGAAACTGAAATTGTCATGTTGTAATACAGGAAGTGCTCCTCTGGATAACTTAAGACTATCTCTACTAAACAAAAGTTAAATGGTAGCTGTTAACTTGAAAACTGCAAATTCACGACATCACAAGGTGGAAAAGTGCATTTTGAGCTTTGGAGATGTAGACAGACTAACAGCAAAAGATTACTCATGTGTGAATAAAACAAAACACTAGTGTTGTAGTACTCAAGACTGCTCTTGGTCTCGAGACCGACCTCGTATTTTTACGGTCTTGATCTCGTCCCAGACTCAAGCGCATTTAGACTTACTCTTGATGGCATCTCAGTCTTGTCTCACTGCAGAACCAGTAAGAGAATGTAACTGTAAATATTATGAACTTGAAAAAACCCACTTGATTACCGGTAGTGTTGAAGTTGTTTTCTATAAAGTGCCAGTGGATGTGAGAGAAACTTACTCTGTGCTTGAATACAGTTTACTTGGTCTATTTTAAGCCTAAATGAACATTAATCAGATAACATGGAGATAGATTTAAAAAAACAAACAATACAATACAATACAAATAAAGGTAGGAAATGACAAAGTTGGTCTTAATTTGGTCTCGATGAGGCGTGGTCTCGGTCTTGTATTGGTCTCAACTCTCAGAGGTCTTGGTCTTGTCCTGATCTCGGGACCCTGTGGTCTTGGACTGGTCTTGGTCTCGATTAGTGCGGTCTTGACTACAACACTACAAAACACAATTCCATGTATGTTTTTGATGAGGTAACATCATTATAACATGACTCACAATATCAAATTTGTGTAATATAGGACCTTTTAATGTTTATAAAATGTTATTTTTGTATTTTCTTGTATTGTAGATATTCCAGATGCTCCTGTGAATTTAGAGATTTCTGAACTTCAAGGCCCCAGAAATATCAGCTTGTCCTGGACTCCTGGAAATGAAAACAACAGCCCAGTCACAGGTGCAATATTAATTCTTCAGTATAATTACTCCCTGCTTTATTGTTAAGCATTAAATAAATTGGTCCAGTGCTCCATCGTATTGAGAATTTGAGTTACTGCTGCATCCAAATCAAGATTTAATATAGCCGTTGATATGCTCTATAATCAGATGTTAACCATAAAAATACTGTACTGAATGTTTGACTGTTTGAATTATAGTTTCAGTTTGCAGATTGTAAAATGTGGAAATAATGTGAGTTTACTAAACTTTATCTTTGCATCCAGTTGCATTGTTGAATTTAGAACTTTTTTATATAAACTTTTAAAGGATACACACACTACACTACCTACACTATGCTAGTACACACATCTTCTTGTATCTAAAAAAGTCTGCAGTGTATCATAAGCCCCATGTGAAAGTTTGACTATTGTGCTGGTGGCTAAACCTCTTTTATCGCGTCTGACTGCAGAATTCGTGGTGGAGTACGAGGAGAGCCAGTGGGATCCGGGGAAGTGGAAGGAACTGAAGAAAGTCCCTGGTAACCTGGCAACCGCCAACCTGATTTTACACGGACACCTCAGCTATCAGTTCAGAGTGTACGCCGCTAATATGGTGGGACCAGGACCCCCCAGTGAGCCCACGCTGAGACACAAAACGCCCCCTGCTGGTAACACTCGCATAACTGTATTATGTTTTCATCTTGGGCTTATCTGGCTGTTTCTGAACCTATATGCAAAGTTTTAACTACTCTTTTGAAATGCACAGAAAGGAGGAGGATGTAGCCAGAGGATTTAGTAGCAATGGGGGGTTAGGAGATAGTTTTGAAGGTCTTGAAATCCCACAGTATCTGCACCAGTACATGTCAATGCTTCACCTTGACTCTTCCATTTGAATATTTGCGTCACCAGCTGTGCAAAACCTGTTTGAACCTTCAAGGCATGCTTCAAAAACACCTCAAATCTCAGGTCGAGGTGAAAGAAAATGAAAGTTATTGCAGTCAAGTGACTTTATAAACATCAAAACATTAAAATGATAGAAATTGACATGAGGAAAACTGAGAAAATGGTGGGTTAACTTAAAATTTAATAGTCACGTGGTATTCCCTGTAATTTGGAGAGAAAATATTTGTGATGCAATTCGTTTCTGTGTTGTCTATGGTCTCCCCTCCTTCAACGTGCTTTGATCACTGTGATGTTTGAACTCTTTTAAGAAAAGCTACCATAACTTACCTCTTATGAGAACGTAAAGCTAATTAAGCGTAAATGAACTCAACTGAATTGACTTGATTGAATTTCATATCATCACTGATCAACTTGGATGTTTTTAATAGAGAGTTCTTCAGCCAATCCTATGTCAAATGCATGCTGTTTGGAGCGCAATTTTGACTTTTATGGAATGAAAGTGACTACTAATTTCCGGACTATAAGTCACTATTTTTTCTCACACTTTGAACCTTGCGTCTTATAAAAGGATGTGGCTAATATATGGACAGATCATTTGTTTGGCACATTGTCCATTCATATATACGGTCTATGGTTTGGTAGCACAGCGAATGCACGTGCAACCTGAGTGCAGAAAGCAATGCTGACTGTGCGGTTCACACATCGATCTAGGGTTCACATGAAGTTGTAGTGCTAGCTAGCAATGTTTTCAGTTTATCACCGTGTGATAAAATAAGTTATAATGCTAAATGCACATTAGAGAGGGGGTTACGTCTTATCCTTATGCGTTATGCAGGTGGGTGTGTAAATGACGAGAAGAAATGTTTCAAAATTCAGTAGCCGGACATCCACTCATCCCTGATCGATACAACTAGTCTAGCCCCCGGGAGAGTCTGAAATCTGCTGAAATCCTACGAGACACTCACACATGGATATGGAGCATAACATTGACATGAGACCAGACAGGATAGCTTCTCTTTCTGAAGGAGATATGCGCAGAGACGGAATGATGCGCCGAGGAAGATGCTCGTTTGATTGTGTTTTGAACAGTTATTTTGCGCTTCATGCACACACCCTCCTCATGGAAAACACACAAAGAAATGCAAATGATGCAGCTTTTAAGTTAAAGGCAATTGATGTGGCTGTCGAAGAAGGAAATCGAGCTGCTGCATGTGAGCTCGGCATCTATGAGTCGATAGTGAGGCGATTGAGACAGCAGCGTGATGAACTGACTCAATGACAAAAGCTTTCAGAGGTGATAAAAGCAGACAGCCCGAACTTGAAAAAGTTCTTGAAGGCGTAGACGCCTGCAGCTTATATTCAGGTGCAGCCTATATATGTACAATTTTAAAATTTAGTTAGAATTTTGTTGATGTGGCTTATATTCAGGTGCACTCAATAGTCTGGAAATTACGGTATTTTTGTAGTATTTTAAGTACAGATTTAAAGTCTGTCTTGTTTATATTTTAAAAAGAAAAAGATTGAAAACGATATTTGTCATATTGAAAATTGTGATTGATTTTTTGGTCTTGTCACCTTGCCCTAATTGTGTTCACCTTAAACCTTAATCTAGAATAGTATAGAGAGTATATAAAACTGCATATGATGATTTACCCTTAGTTTATATGTCTTCACAGCACCTGATCAAAACCCAGAGAACATCAAAATTCAAGGCTACCTACCTCATCAAATGGAAATAAGCTGGGATGTGAGTGAACCATTTTCCATCTATATATTTGTACAGTAAAAACGATGACACTTGCAGCTGTGAATATCATTAAAGTCTTGTTGCTTCATGGTTCTTTCACAGCCGCTGTTGCCTACTGAGCACAATGGACCGGGCCTTGAGTACAGGGTGAGCTACAGGAGGCTGGGCGTAGATGAAGAATTCAAAGAGTCTCTTGTCAAAAGACACTCCTTTGTCGTGAGGAATACGTCAACGTTTGTGCCGTACGAGATCAAAATCCAAAGCAGGAACAGTCACGGGTGGGGGCCTGAACCGAAAATTATCACAGGGTACTCAGGAGAAGATGGTAAGTGGACAAAGACACAGTAGCTCAAAAACATTTCTAGACATGAGACACTTTATGCTTTTTATGTCTTTATCAATTACATTGGATTATCAAGCAGGCCATTCGTAGTATGTTGAGGCTAGTTGCAAGACTATACCACCTTCAAAAATGCTTGATTTTGTCTTATCTCCAAAAGGTAAGCAAGTTGGGCCTGGGTAGTTTTGGGGTGGAAGACCACAGGGAATATAAAGTGTTATAGTGGGCCCAGCTGTAGCTCTAGTTTACTGCGTACTGCTGCTGTGTACTTATGCAAGACACTTCATCCACCCAACACTGAGTATGGAGTGAAGGACTGGAACAGGACTAAAGTTCTAAATCAGTACTTAAGCATAAAAAATGTTTAAAAAAGAAAGAAAGAAAGAATGAAAGACCACTGAAATGCCATAGTTCTTGGTGCTTTTAGTGGAATAATGTTTGACTGGAGATGTATCTGAAAACATTTGACATTGACCTTTTGTGCATCATTTTTCCTCTTTCTCTAATTCCTACCGAAAAGCATTACAACAGTTTTCATATTTTCAACTCTTCAAACCACAATCACATGACATAGTTAAAAACTTTGATGCCTTATAAAGCAAGCAATCATTTGGATGTATTTTTGAAGGATAAAGCACTAGATCTTAATACCTACATGACAGTTGTAAAAATCTGCCATAACACCTCTGTTTTATTTGTTCCTCCCCTGTTGCCTTCAGCTGTTGTGTGGCATTGCCTTCGTGAAAATGTCTCAGGTTGAGTTCCTCCTCTCTTGTTGTTCTAGCTCTGTGCAGGTGTGTAGTAGTGACTATTAGCCCCCTAAGAAAACGTAGTTGTGTACAGCAGGTGTCTCGTGGCCTGTGTTTCCCTTGTGTGTGAGAAACTGTGGGAGTTTTCACAGATCACGACACAGCTTGAGTAGGCCCGCAGCGGCAGAGTGCTTCTCTCCAGTGAGCCTTTGAATTCATCCCGCCTTGTTTAGCGCATTTGGCTTTCATGATAGATGTGCTGTTGCTTTGTGATAGGAGTCAGGGGCTTCATTGGTGTTTTTTGTACTGCATAAATATATCAGTATATATCGGAAAAATAAGGAAAGGCTTGTTTTTCAATAGCTGAATATGAAGAGTAGATTTTGAATACTGCAGTAGCTATATGCAGTTAGCAAAACATAACACACCTTAGGGATAGGCCAATATATCGGTATAACAATTAAGACAGTGCTCAGTTCAAATCATGTAAAAGTATCAAGCCTGACTATCGAATGCTCTGGATTCTAAAATAATTGGCCATGATGAAACACATATTGGTTGATCTCTAACAAACATGTAATATTTCTACATTATATTTTAATTTTGCTGAAAGAATTCTAACAGCATTCTAATTATATCTACTTTTAATTATAATTACAGTCTTGACATCCATAAAAAGAAAGGAAAGTTTTAGTGTGAAAATAATAATTGCTACACAAAAATTTCAGAAGGTCTCACAACAAAACCTTCTAAAAACAGACCCATAATAGAATGTTTTATATTATTTATATTCCATAAGTTCTTCATAGCTTCCTCCCATTAGAGAATGTGGGTGGCTGGAGCCTATTCCACCATTATAGGCCTGGGGCAGTCACAACCTGGACTGTGGCCAGTTAGCTGCAGTTCTGTGAGACAACCACTCTCCATCACATTAGTTCACTAAGAGACATTTAACTCACCCACACATGCATGTCTCTACTGGGGAAATGTACATATTTTTGGGAGTTTTTGTTGCGTACAAAGTAAAGTTGTTATATTGTATCGCACATTTTAACAATAAATAGAACTGAGAGTACTTTTTTACCTTCAGGACAAATAAACTTTGTGGTTGCGCTAAAACTTTTTGTATTCTTCATATTGTGTCTATTGCTTTACTGACCCCTGGCTCTGCCTGTGTTTAGTTCCCACTGCAGCTCCGCGGGACGTGGCAGTGGAGGTGATCAACACCACTGTGCTGCGAGTTAGCTGGACCCCGGTCCCACCTGTCACAGTGCGAGGGCATCTGGGGGGATACAATGTGAGTAATCATGTTCCAAAAACACTTTCCGGACTCAGCACTGACAAACAACTAAGACCTCAGTGCAATAAACTGGAACGCTTAAGTTTAAGACCATAAAATCCATAAGGTAAAGGAGTAGATAGTTGTATTTTTTTATTATGCCTGAAAAACAGATACAGTACTGTTAGCTAAATACATATTTAATTAATGTGTTTTTTTTTTTATTGATATAGATGTGAGAATGTGTTTATTTGTAACATTTTACTCCTTTTTACTGCTGCAGTTTTGCTCTTTCAAAGTTTTGTTGCATTTTGCACAATGATAAGAAATCTAATCTAATCTAACTAACAATTTAGCAGTAATATGTTTTTGTAAGCACATTATTCTTGTTTCCAACACTTAACAAGTAACTAGTAAGTAGTATATCTCTGTATATTGTTGTATTTTGGTTTGAACTTCAAAATATTGTGTAGTCTGTCTTAGTCTGGAACATACCTGAATATTACAAGAATTATTGAAACTACAAACCATTTTTGTCACAGCCCAATAATGTTTTTAGCGTTAGCTGATACCAAGTGCACATGCAGTAGTTACACTGTTGTAGGCAGTTCATCAGAGCGAGCTTCTAATTGCAAGAATCATGTCATCTGTCTCATTATACACTTCCTCCTTAACAATTTCTGCCTTGTCAGATCTCTGCTTTGTTTGACCCTCTTCATCTCCCTGTCTCAAACTAACCACTCTGCCGCTCTCCTCCCACAGATTCACTGGTTGAGAAAACGAAGCTTTCTGAATCCAAGCAAGCTTTTAGACGAACGCCAATCCCTGTCCTTTCCCGGAAAAAGGAATCACGCCATTGTGCCCAGGCTTGAACCGTTTTCTGAGTACAGCCTCACCGTCAATGTGTTCAATAAGAAGGGCAATGGGCCAAAGAGTGACCCGGTCAGCTTCAGCACTCCCGAAGGAGGTGAGAAGGACCACCACTTTCCCTATACATTATAAAGTTATAAAGCATCATGCCGTGTCTCTTTTCTTGTGTGTACGAATCTGAAGTGACAGCCAATGTCAAAACCTCGCTTCCATTAAAGACCCAGAAAATGTTTAATGACTTGCACAGGTCGGAAGAGCAGAAAAAGTGAAACTACAAGAGAATGGAAAACAGCTATTAAGTCGGCTGTTACTGTGGAGAAGCATGCACTCACAAGAAGAAGAAAGAATTACTATTTTGGAACTGAAATCATATACCAATGGGAAAATGTGACTGTAAATCTGACAAAATTATAGTTGTTGTAAGAGGAAAAGTGGATAATTGGACTTAAAGTAGAAATATTTTTTTTCAGAGACTGGCCTCTTAGTCTTAGTCATCATACATATGCAGGCTCCAGTATGGTTTTCTCCTCTTCTTATTGCCTGTTGAATCACTGGCTGCTTTGTTGTTGTTGTTGTTGCACATAAACAATGCAATCCTGTTACAAGTGTGTGTAGTATTCATACAGGTTCCAGAGTGTTATGCGTAGATAATCAGATAGAAACAATTCAAAAAGCAAAAAGTAAAAAATATATATATATTTTTTTTAAATAATGAAAAGAAAAGGCAATAAATTCCAGTTAAATACGTGTCAAAAGAAAATGTATAATTCTGTCAAGTGGACAAAAGTAAAAACTGTGTCCAGATTTTTTCTTTTGCTACGGATCCGAACTGGATGACTGAGGGATTACACAGACAATTAAATATGTGGTTTTAAATGAGGCAGAGATAATTGCTGGTTTGCATCAGTGACTAATTCACTCATCCACTTTAAATTTAAGAGGATAACATTTGCTTAAAAAAGAACAGTAAAGGTAACCATACATGCTGGAGTTGAATGTTTTTGATTATATACATTGCACTAGTAAGAAAATCCAAAAATGTTGCTTTAAGATTTTGAATAATACAAGGTTAATACATAACATATTCTTGTGACTTTTGTTCACGGACCTTACTGTGGAGACAAATGAAGCCAAGTAAAAATAGCTCCCAGTTGTTTACCTTTTCATATATACAGTACCTCTTGTTGCTTCAGGCTAAAAAAAGAAGATCGAATAAAGATGAGAAGAAAGAATTCAGAGGAAATCCATGACATGATGACAGCCCTGTTAAATTGTCAGGTTTCTGACAACTGACAGAGGGCTGTTCATAACTAAAAGTGTCTTTCTTTGGAAAATAATAGTTCTCATATGTATATATGTATCTCTTCTCTCTTCTCAGTATATGTATATTGAATAGCCATATATTTTAATGTGAGATTATATTATTTTTCTTACAGTTCCTGGCCAGGTGCCCATCCTGACGACTTCAAATGCACAAAAAGACTCCATTTTACTGGTCTGGGGTCCACCGTCTGAGACAAAGGGCATCCTCACAGGCTACCTCCTCCAGTATCACCTCAGTAAGTCACATATCTGTACTCTATTGATTACACTGATTGCAGTCTTTTTTTAATAAGTTGCTTCCACTTGGATGAATTTTGGGGTCTGTTAAAAGCTCCAGTCTCAATTTTACCTCATTAGTAATTTGCCTGACTATTTCTTTATGTTATGTGGGGGCAGTTAGTAACTTAAGAGCAAAGATTGAAGTTCCTGTTTACCTTTGAGCCTTGGGTTGTTTTTTCTCATTTGATGAAGCTGATAGCCTGCTGTTTACTCTTTCAATCACTCTCCCTTTCTCCTCTCTTCAATACATTATGGTCTCCCAGTGAACACAAGGTGGCACTGTTTAATTCTGAACCCACTACTCTATTCCTTCCCTGCAGCAGGCTAATTTGTGCTCTGGCTTTGGGACTGAATTTTGACAGTTCTTTCTGTGCATCTTATCTTTTCTCCCCTCTTGGACTGCAGGTTTTTGCTCTAAAAGGGAACATCCCACTCAATAGCATCTTTTTTCTTCAATTTCTTTGGCATTTATCACTCACAAACGCTTCATCTCTACAAACTGGCTACCTTTATATGAGTGGACAGTTCGGGTGAAGGAGTGAGGGAGGGTCTTTTATTGGATTTGCTCTGTTTTCAAAGGCTACGCTCTTGTCGGCTGACATTTGTTAAATCTTTTGTGTAAAATGGGAAGCTAGAGACAACCCTTTGATGCCTACGCCCCTGCCCACCAGGTCTGGTCAGATTTTCAATACATTATGTCCTGTTCTTCCTTATTCAAGTTTATGTAAGGTTATACATGTGCTCACACTTCCACAGGTTTAGTGTGTTAGAAGTTCAAAATGCATGGTCCAAAATCTGTTGATTTCTATGATTGCTGTTAGAAGAAGTAGTACTTGAGTTGAAGGCGCACAAAAAAAAACTCAGAGTTTCTCTTTTTATTTTTTTTCTAGTGATGCCAATCCACTCATCCACTGAGCTTTACCAGTTTGGAGTAAAATATGGTCACTGATGTCATGTAGGAACAATACAAATGAGCAAGCGTGGGTGCAACATATTTTTGTTTTGATGCAGTCAGTGTACTGCTTCAGTACACATAGTCATTCATTCATAATTCTCATTTTTAACTGATGCTCACCCATGCAACTATGGTGTATGGAGACTAATTGTGGGTGGAGTTTTCTGGTTTCAGAATGTAAATTCCCATACTTTTTTCCCATGGACTTTAAACATATATAAACATATTATTTTTAATCAAAACATATTTTTTAGATGTCTTAAATCTAACAAAATACAACTTTATGGTTGTTTTAAGTGTTAGAAATACATTTTACTTTCTATTATTCACATGGTTACCACATGGCTGATCCGCCCTCAAGCTTTACCATAAGACTATAAAGATTATTAAGATTATTATTATTAATAAAATGAAATGTCTATTGGCAAGTCTCTACCCACTGATGAGCTCCGTACAGGCAATGTCAAGTATTTAGAGGCACAAGAACAGCAAGTACTGTAATAACAAAATATGAAAGAGTAAAATGCATAATTTATGTGTTTCCATTTCCATGGTGACATAGTGCATTATTGTGCTGTTTAAACACCTCACACTCCTCATTATTAAAAACACTCCTCCATATGTGCGATAACATACTGTGTGCACATTTTCTTGACGTACGTTTGCTGCTGGGTCCAGCACAAAGATCAGGAGGAAGCAGACTGAGCGTGACTCTCTTGACTTCTTCTGAAGGACATAAATAAGCAGACGATGTAGCCAAGACATGATGACTAGAACTCTATAGGGTACATGGACAAAGATAGTCCAAGGTTTGTGCTGGATGCATTAGCTGCCTGGAGACATTTCATTTCAAAAGTTCAAACGGTCCATAGCAAAAATACAGATTTATTGGCACTTAATGATGTGAGTGAAAAAGTTATGGTATGCTTGAGCAAGTGTTTTTATACTTTTGTATATATTTAACAAGCTAAAGTTTAACTAGTTCACCTTTCCTATGTCTGCATTTCAAACTTCAAAAGTATTAATAATAAAATGTTATTCTTGTTTTCTATTACTGTGAACTGTTAACATTGCACTTACATTGGCTCACATGGGTGGGCACTAGGGTCTACAGTGCCTAGTGTGTAGCTGTAATACAATTAACTGTAAAAAGGCTATAATATTAACATATATAATAGCCATATGTATAAATGTGTAAAGCACTGAAACTAGTATTGAAGTATTTTTATTTATTTTTTTGGTGCCATTTTTGTGTAATCTTGGCAGTGTTAGGTATTGAGTATCAATCCTATTCTTTGGTATCACAACTGAGTTTTAGAATTTACTATTGTGACTACAGTATTTGCCTTTATATTCATGTTGATTTCATGTAAGTGTGATACAAAGCTATATACTGGTATAAAGTTGATTTGAGGCTACAGCTCATTTAAGGTTCAGGTAATTACAGCATCTCCCCAATCGCACATATTTGAAATAGCTTAGGAGAGGCTCATAACATAGATTTTCCTCAACAGTCTGAGCACAGTTGCACCTGCATTTTAATGTCTGCCCAGCGTGATATCAGCGAGGGAGGTTCCTGGAGAAATGCAATGCTCTCTCAGTCTGCACACACACTGTACTTTGATGTATAATGTATGTTGGGTATTCCTGCTTGTGACTGCAACTCTTCACATGTCTCTAGATATCCCATGTTTAATTTCTCTTTTGGTCTGTTTCCAGTTTCCCAGGAATGCCCACTGCATGTATAAAAGAATATTAAGAATTTCATGTAACACTTAAATAATTTAGTAGAGACACAGTATTTTTATTTTATAGTTTATATGTTTGCAGTTGTTTTCTGGTGGGGATCTGTTACTTTAACTTGACAGGCCTGTAACTTGGTCAGGTGGTGTCACATGCTTGGCTGCACGGAGATTGAAATGTTTAAAGGTCCTATATTACACAAAATTGACACTTGTGAGTTTTAAGCCATGTTGTAATGTCATTACCTCAAAAACATACCTGGGGTTAGGTTTTGTTTTGTTTACACATGTTTGAGTAATCATTTATTATTAATCTGTCTACATCTCCAAATCTCCAAATGCTCGGTTTCACCTTGTGATGTCATGAAGTGGTAGTTTTCAAGTTGTAATACATTATCCAAATGATTTTAGTGAAGGTGTATGGAGTTTAAAAACACAGTGCAGTACTTCCTGTTTTACCACATGACATCACAAGGTGGAACAGAGTGCTTTCTGTTTGAGAGAAGAACTCAGCCTAAATATGAAGGGTTTGTGTGTTAAACATGTGTGAATGAAACAAAACACAACTCCAGGTCTATTTGTGATGACACTATAACATAGGTCAGAAAATATACAAAGAAAGAAATATACAAAATAGAAATCCATGCTGAACCTTATTATTATTTGTTAAGGACTGTGGTCACAAACTCGCAATATTTATCTCATGACTCAAAGTCCTTTCAACTGACAACAGTAACACCTTTAGAGATGAATAATGGCACCACTTTCTGAGGCTATTGTGAAAAAATAATTTCACTTTTGTTTATTTATGCTGCCAGAGAAGGTGTTGAACTTCGTGACATTTTTATCAAATTGCACACAACAATTATTCATGTAACCCTACCTCTACCAACACTGGATAGCCATTTTAATTTATCACTTAAGGAAACCTCTTTTTAAAAATTAACATATTGAGTAAACCTCTTTTGTATGATACTGATACTGTACACGTTTCACTTTGAAGAAACCAGGGAACTAAGAAGGCACTTCCATGATATTCTAATTTGTTGATGCAGCGCCTGTTTTTCTTTCTTCTCCTCCTCCTCCACTCCTCCTCATCCATTGCTCCTTGTTTACCCTCTCCACCCGAGCTCTCTGTCTGTTCCTTTAATCTTGCCTCTGCTCTGTTCATAATGTATTCCTCCTCGGCTCACCTGTCACCACTGCTATCTGCTACATTCTGTTTCAGCTTGAGCTAACCTGACATCTCTTCATCAATCGCCTCCCTCTCCCATTGACCCTCATTACAACCATGTCTTATTATCATACTGTATATACCTCACTGGTGACTATTTCTTTAGCATTTATCTAACGATATGGACATTTGTACTCAAGGACAAGTACTGTTAAGAAATATTAATATAAATAATACTTCTACTGATATTACTATCATTACTATAGCTAGTGAGTAATACAGCTTTTACAGTTGGTGCTACTACTGGGAGTACAGGCAGGGCTCTGGACAAAAAATGAAACTAGTTTATTTTAATCAGTTAGTTGTTAGTTTCCTATTGCATTCCTAGCATCCTAATTATTCACCATGATGAATGTTTCACATCTTTCATCAGCTTGAGTTTTGCACACATTAGTATTCTAACAGCACACTTCCTGATTCACAGGCAAGAAACATTTTAAAACAATATGGTCATGCTGTCGTTGTGTCCTTTGGCAAGACACTTAACCCACCTTGCCCCCAGTGTCTGCATATACTGGTGTAGTGTGTGTGAGTGTGTGAATGGGTGAGTGGTTCCTTGTTGTAAAGTGCTTTGTGTGCTTTGAAGGTGGAAAAGCACTATATAAAAATGTGACCATTTACCATTTACAATTTATAATTAAACGCAGACAGCAGTGGTTTCATTTCTACCACTTATACAACATATCAACTGCATAAAAAATCAGGTATAGCCACTATTGTACTCTTTTTGTTGTTGTTGCTAACTCTTTTATCATAAAACATGAGGAGACTTCTTGAGTAAAAGTATGAATACTTGCTATCTCTGCACGGGTTACACACCTGGTGATGACTTCTTCAGTGTGTCTGTCTTCCACACCTGTACTGACATGACTACTCTCACCTCTCCCTCTCTCTCTTTCTTCTCTCTCTCTGTCTCAATCTCTTTCTCCCTCTCTCCCTCTCCCATCTCTCACACTCTCGCTCCATAGTTAATGAGAGTTCGCTGGAGGTGTTGGAGTCCCAGGAGAAGAACATCAGTGCTCCTGACACCACCCAGTGGCAGCTGCGGGACCTGCAGGAGGGCCGCTTGTATCGGTTCCAGCTCCGCGCCTGCACCCGGGCGGGCTGTGGACCCCCGCGGGCACAGGAGAGTCGCACTATCAATCCAGAAGGTGAGGCTCTATCCACTGAACTGAAAGGTGGGGGGCAGCAGTGTCTTCACAATTAAGCCAACTTCAGTTTAAAACAATAGTTCAATAGGAAACAGGATATTGTTTTCAATGTGTTTTTTCTACTGCAAATGACAAATATACTGAAACTGAAACCTCCATGTCACCTTGGGGAGGTTATTGCTTTGCCCAGAATGTTCCAAAGTATGGCATTGATATTATTTAGCCGTTGATACCACAGGGCAAATTACAGGCCAGGTCAGGTCATAGTGAGAATGGAAGAATGTATTTTCTAGCAGTACTGAATACATGCAAAATATGTTTATGGGAATACTGTGGGGCATTCCAGACAAAAGCAATAACAGCTCCATGTAGACAAGAAGGTGGCCGATCCCTCTCTAGAAAAGTACTTTGTCGATTATAACCATCTATGCTATCTATCAAAGCCACCTACAAGAGCATTTACTTGACTTTACATTCACTTAACCCAGCAAATCACCACAACAAAAGGAGTCTATTAAGAGCCATAGTAGACTCTGCAGAGGAGGAGTGATCTGAACATCCCCCTGGCCCCTGCAGTGACACTGTCCTCCTTTTCCCTCCCTCTGATATGACAGTGACTGACAGCAGCGTTCTCTGAGCCTGGATCATCTGACAGGCGGCGATGCCACAGATCAACACACCAAACATGTGGCTGGGGTTGTAGTGGTTTTTTTTATAGCTTGTCAAATCTTAAATTCCCTTTTCCGTGCAGTCAGATTTCATTATTGTCCTTCCTGGGTTGGATGTTGTACATGTCACTAAAGTCCCAGATGAAAATGCTCCAATTAAAGACTGCACTACAAGGAAAAGGCTCATTTGGTCATAAACATGAAGCGGAAATTGCAGTTAGCCAAATATTTTTCCAATGAATGCACTTTTACGTTTAATTCATTATATATTTTTTCCCGTCATTAAACGAACATGTATTTGTGCATAGTACACTTTCGTTTTCAGTTCTGTTTAAGGAAAAAAACAATTTGGTTGTAGATTTTGTTATATCTGGACCATTTTTCGCTGCGTGTTATCATGTTGTGCTTTGGCTTGGTTTGCATATTGCCCATATTATGTCGGTCTACTATACTTGCCATCTTTATGAAACTCATTATTCTTTTGTGAAAATCAAATCCCTATTTTAGATATAACGTTGACATTTTAACAAGATTTTAACAAAATTACACACTAGCCTGATTTGCTAGAACTTATTACTACAGTGTTGTTTCTAGGCAACCAAAAGGAAACGGCCAGCGTCCCTTATTTCACTGTCTGGACGTTGTCATTATCAGTAATTATGTTTCTTTATAAACAAAACATAGACTTCCAATTTAGCCGTCACGCTTGTCCTCATCTGTAGTGCTTGAGCGTTAAACCACAGTAAACGTCTGTCATATGTAGCCAGGCAGTGTGTTCTGTGTGAATCCAGATGAAATAAAGGATGAGGTGGAGTCATTAAGCGGCAGTGTGGCTGAATGGACGAAAGGTAATGAACACAGGAGCAAGGGTAGATATAGGGCTTTATATTAATATGCTACAATAATGGTACTTTAAATAGGCCTGTAGTAACAATAGCAAATACAGCATAAATACAACTGTTGTAACATAATGAACCTGAATGGTAGACTAGACTTTCATTGTAAATGATGCATTCAGGAAACAAGGAGCAAAAAATGTAGAGACATATCCAAAAAGTTCTTAAAGGTTAATATTGGGGAATATGTTAAATTTTCCATGGCTTTTTCATGACCTCAATGAATTTTCCATGACTTTATGGCACCCTCCGTTTGCAGAGTTGATCAGACTTTTAGGGCTAAATATAAAATGTTAACCCTTTCCACGCACCTTATGGTTTGGTATTCTAGTATTTTTTAAATTCAAAACACTGTCAGTGCATTGATTGTCATCTCTTTTAAACATAAGGCGCATACGTTTGGAAATAATCATAATAGCCTAATGATAACTTAACAGAAAGCTGTAGTTGTGTGAAACATATATTGAAATTCTATCACTTTTCCAAAACTTTCATTGAATTGACAAAATTTCATGACTTTCCCAGGCCTGGAAAACGATATTTTCAATTTCCATGACTTTCGAGGATTTCTATGACTGTGGGAATCCCGATTACTAGGTTACACTCATAAGGCTCAAACACTGATGTATACTTTGACTTATAAGGTTGATTAGTTGCAAGTTTAAGACTAGGGTTGCCATCTTTTTTAACTACTAGTCCGTACCTCAGCTTCAGTGGTGGAACGTAATCAAGAAAAAATAGTAGCTTGAGTAACATGTTTAGGTATCCAAACTTTTACTCTTTAAGAAAATTTTTAATACTTTAATACTTTTACGTAGCATTTTCATGTGATACCTTTACATTTACTTGAGTGTTTTTGCCCTGGTATCTGTACTTTTACTTAAGTAACAAAACTGAGTAGTTCTTCCACCACTGCTCATCTCTAAAAAAAACGTCAAACAATGCTCAGTGTCTGGATAATTGTGAGATTTATTTTCATAATTTCCTTAAAAATATCTTCAGCATCTTCAGTTTTAATCGTTCATAGTACTTTTGTTAAAATGTTATCCTCACAGCTTGATTTTTTTATTTTAATTTTTCCTGAAATTATGTCACTTATTATCTTTACTAACAATCAGCCTAAAATGAAGATGTTAGCTTGCTCGAAATGGCAATACATGACAATATGCCTGCTTGGTCTGATAATTCACTCCACTGCAGCTCTTATGGGTCCCCGGAGAGCCCTTGCTTCTTGCAGGTGGACATCCAGCCTGAGAGCCATTGGATGCATTGTTTGTAAATGTGGGCAAAGTAGGGAGGAATGGCATCTGGCTCAGTGGGTAGATAAAATGTTGTGTGTTTGGAAGCCCGTGGTCCTCCGGGCAAGGCACTCGCGGTGCAGAGGCAGAGTGGAGATTTATGGTTGCCAATAGCACCGCGCCAGGGCACCGCGGCTTTACCGACATTAATGGGCTGTGATTGAGTGACAGTTAGGGGAATGGATGTGCGCAAGTGAGAAGGGCTCCTGGAAAAGTGGCATCAGACTCAATTTGGGAGAGTCACAGTGGTAAACAGGGAGAATATAGAAGGCTGTTGGTTATGTTAATTTGCTTTTAAATGCTGTTGTCAGTGTTTGTGTTTTATTTTGGTTAATGTCTCTGGTGACACCCCATAGTGAATGTTTGTCATAATGGATTGGCACAGGATGGCATTGAAGCCTCGAGGGAGTTAGAAGGAGAAATCACATCAGATTTTGCAAGATCTTAAAGGGGATGTATTATGTAAAACCAGCTTTTTATGAAGCTTTCACCATATTATTAACATTGTCATTATTATCATTGTTAACTTGTATGGCATTTTTTAAGTGCCAAGAATATTTGTTTTCATCTTTCTCCACCCACAGCTCTGTACTTACTTTACAATCATTCAAAAGAAGTGAACAGGAAGTTAAATGACCCATTTTAGATCAATATTGCAACAACTAACATGTGTAAAATAATGTTATAGTCATAGAAGCATGTATTCTTTAAACAGCTAAAGTGAATAAGAATGATGAGCATGCTGAAGGCAAGAAAGAAATTTCACCAAATACTTTACACAAACAGGCCCCACCCAGCGTAGGAGGGTTGAGTTTGAAATTTCTTCTTCTGCCAAGGTGGGTTTCTTCCATGAAGTCTGGTTTCCCCGTTTAACTTAAAATATGCACAACAGACCAATGCACAGTGGTCAAGTTTTCCAGATAAGGTGATCCTTACCAGACTGGACAAGGGTCTCTACACAGTGGTCACCCCGTGCTCCTTAAAGGTTTCCACTAAGTTACTGGTCTTGCTTTTCATTCAATATGTCTGCAGAATTGTTTTAAGCATTTAATGCCATAAATGTGCATTTTTATGAGCAATATTTTTTTTGTTTCTGTCTTATTTCTTTGTATCCTTAATACCACAAAACTAGTTCACTCTTGTTTTGAACTTATATAATACAAAACCATGAACTACTGATCAAAAACCCAAGATTCTGTAAAAACATCTGCACCAATGAAGAAATGTAAAAAGCTGTGAGAGGAGCAAATGGCAGAGAGACTGTGGCAGACTCAAAAATATCTATTTTTCTCCATCAGGTCTCATGAGATAAGAAACCAGCAGAGATAAAGGCCGCTGCAAACTAGACAAAAGCACAGAGGAGGCGAGCGTATACCTCTAAAGTCACTCTGAAGAACCAGCCTCTCCCAGGATTAAATTATTTGCTCCCTGCCATTGTATTTGTTCAGCCAAGTTTGTATTTCCAAAATATTTGCAAAAGGCTTGGGGACACTGTTTGAAGTAGTGGAGAACATAAACTACAGAATCAATTCGCCGACATAATCAGAGATCCACATTTACACCAATGGTAATGTAATTCTACATTAACAGTTAATTGGGCTGATTGTGTAGACTAAAGCCAAGCAATGTAATCACAGGGCTTTGTTAGAGTACAGTGGAAGAAATACAGTCATAGGTATTTGAAATGAGCTCCTTTAGAACACAGACTATATAAAGAAGTGGACTATGCGTGTGATGTCGCCCATAGGGTTGGGCACCGCTCAAATGAAGCTCGTGGTGCTAGCGGTTACAGAAGCAAATTAGAATCAAGCTCCATAGTAGGATTTTTTTTAATGGGCAAAATAGCAAAATAAAAACAAAAGGATTATGTAGTAATATGAACATTTTAAGGCCAAAATGACAAGGCTCACTGCAGCAGTTACAGAGAGAGGTGTGACAATATTCCGATTCAAATCAATGGGAGCCAGGGTCAGTAGCAGCGGGAAGTTCCTATTTGGAATGCAGCGGCTAGCACTTTAGTTATGTCAATTTCTATATACAGTCTATACTTTAGACAATATAGAGTGATTAGATTTCAAATTATAGGTTTTACTCTGCAAATCTTATAGTTAACCATCTGTACTCCTCTAAAGGCTACC